AGTCTGTGTAAACATGTTAAAACTACTTCTGCATTAGTGTTAACGGATGCGGGATCCTTCGAAAGAGCTAAACGTCCCAGGCAAGGACGCACGTGCACTACGGCAAAAACGGGAAAATGACGTGAATCCAATTGGTTCAGCGGGTCACGTGATGCTTGCCCAATCGATACCAGGCTGCTTCACGTGCGCTCGGGACGGACAAGGCAGAGGGAACGCCTGAGATCAAGGGCGCCATTTTGGAGGGTGGCATTCTGAGGCGGAAGGAGGGCACTCCGCTAGTCCTGACGCCATGTCCTGGTCTTCAAGTGGGCGCCATTCGACCGGAAAAAATCACGCTAGTACGAATAGTCAGGGCACCAACACATCATTTAGTCCAACATCCGCCTCCTCGACGACACAGGGTAACAGTTTGCACCAGGAGACCCAGACAGTCGATTCTCCAACGGAAGCCTACGGAAGGTTTACCCCCCGGGAAGACACCTTAACCAGCCCACTAGAAATTCTACCTGTAGCGCCGCCATGTACGATAATCTACTGCCAGCCACAATGGCAATATCCAGCCAGATGTCCAGTTTCGCACACAGCCTTCTATTGCAGCAGAACCACCTGTTGTCAAGCGCCTTGTGGAGGGTATGTGTATCCGCCTGTGAACGCGTTACCTTGCCCGCCCGCTCACCATCAGGTTGCCAAGAGACAGGAGGAGGAACATTCGGAAGAGGACACCTGCGAACGACGTCCTCGTCAGCCACTCACCTGTAAGGATCAAAATAAACCACCAAATGTGATAAGAAAGCTGGCCACCAAAAGGAAACTGGCTACCGCGAAGCTTGTACCGGCCGCCAACAAATTTTCCCCGGCAAGGTCACCCACTAAGCGCCTGCCACTGAAAATTTCGTCAGGAGGAGGTGGTCATGAGTCGAGCACTTTTAACTTGCGACAACCAGCAAGCCAGCCGCAAGTGAGCATGGGAAAAGTAGTGGACACTAACAGGCCATCGGTCGAGTCAACCAGGTCCGCACAGGAAAAATCTTACCTTTGGAGGAGAACTCAGAGTTCGGAACACCTAAGGGGAAGCGTCAGCCCAAGGGAGATGGCGTCCAGGCAAGTGGGTAGCCTTAACCATCAACCACAGCCTGTGCATGCAGGTAAGTCCTCAATGGACGATCTGTCCACCGCTGCCGCTCCAGTGAATTACGAATTAAATAGAAGAACACCCAGTTCACGTGATTCATCCAAATTATCTGTGGAGAAAAGACCTCAGAATAGTATTTCGAGAGGATCATCTACAAGCTCCGAAAGAGGCACACAAGGAAAAGTATTCGTACCTTCCAGGTCTGCACCTGTTCTCTCGACTCGAAGTCATACGCAACCGAGCCATGAA